GGTGACCAAGGTACTGGGTCATCAATAAGAATGGTCTTCGGACGACTCTAAAACACGCCTTGTTGACTGACTGGTTCGTATGCATTGTCCGTTGACTTTTGGATTGAAAGGTTGGCAAGAGGAATAGTCCCAGAACCTTCTCATGGAGCAACAATTCTTGACCAAGCAACGACTTGATGAAATTTCATAATATTTGAAGAAATAAAAACGATTTATTTTCATTTGCAAATATGATACCAACTGTTAAACGGATAGACTAGTCAGAAAAAATACAACTATAGTGAGATATATCTATTTTCCTTCATTGCTTCTTGTTTACGATAATTCTTTCTAAAACATATACAAAGACCTTAACTAAAATTCGTGGTGGGACTTCAAAATCTCTTCAAACCGATTTGCTAACGAAGGGGCAGTAAAATAATTGGCTAAGCCACAATAATGAAAAATAAATATTATTGTGTGCTTGAAAAGAACAGTAGATATTTGGCTAAGAAAGATAGGTAGATATTTGGTGAAGAAAGATATCTGGCTAAGCCACAATAATGCTAGTTTATAAGTTTTTCCCAAAAAAAATTCTATTATTTTTAACTCAACTATTTTTTTTTTTTTTTTAACTCAACTTTAACTCAACCCACCATCATAAATATAATTAAATAATATCTATCAATCAACCCACTATCATTAATATTATCAATATAATTAAATAATATCAATCAATAATTCTTACACACAACATCAACCTTAATTTACTATTCATCTACTCACATATTTTAACTAACTATCACATCACATCTTCTCTCTTCTATTTTTACATCAACTTAATTTTAATTATTTTATTTTAAAAATTATTTTAATATACTCACTAACAATTAATCATACCAACTTTTTTAAATTTAACCAATTCAAATAAAAAATACAATCAAAACAAAACAAATTTATATCCAAGCATGCTCGGTCAAATTCGCATAGAGAATAGTAAAGTAGATTAAAATAAAGAAAGATGGTAAATGGACCAAAAAGTCTTCATTTTTTCATTCTTTTTTTTTTGGTTTCTATTTTAAGTAGATTAAAATAAAGAAAGATGGTAACTGGACCAAAAAGTCTTCATTTTTTCATTCTTTTTTTTTTTTGGTTTCTATTTTTTCTTTCTCTCATTATATCATATTTTAACCGTTGAGCGGATCCGTCTATCAACATCTCTCTCCACCAACTAATTATTATCTTACAAATGTCAATTTATTCTACAATTAACATTTATCATTAGAGACAAAATATTTTAATTTTTTTTTTCTACACATCATAGATATCAAAATTGACATAGTGTCATATACTCTAAACACCAAATTAGAATAGAGAATAGTAAAGTGGATTAAAATAAAGAAAGATGGTAGGTGGACCAAAAAGTGTTCATTGCCATTCTCTTTGCACTTATAATTTACTAACAACATATATCATTATCAACCTCCTATCCTGTTCTCCATCTCTTTCTTTCTCCACAGTGCTCTGAAAGATGGACAGAGAACAAGAGGAAATCCAGTTCCTAGGATTGCCAGGCATCCTCAAGGAATCATGTGATCTGGTGGTATCATCGCCATGGCGAAAGATTTTTGCCCAGATAACTCTGCTTCTCATCCTTCCCCTCTCCTCGGTCTACTTGTCCCACATCGAGATAACAGAGATCCTTTTCCGCAGAATCATGCACAACGAGTACATGCTGGAGTGGACTCCCGAGGGCACCCGCATCCACCAGCGCATCGCCCACATGCTCCGCTCCGAGCTGACCGCTTTCTTCCTCTTCAAGATCGCGTACATCCTCTTCTTCATACTCCTCGCCCTCCTCTCCACGGCCGCCGTCGTCTACACCATCGCCTGCATCTACACCGCCAAGGAGATCACGCTAGCACGAGTCGCCAGCGTGGTCCCCAAGGTCTGGAAGAGGCTCGCCCTCACTTTCCTCTGCAGCTTCGCCTTAGTTTTCGCCTACAACGTCCTGTCCCTGCTGCTGTTGGTCTTGGGCGCTGTCACTCTCGGGAGCGTGCGGGTTCTCGGGGTCGCTTGCCTGGTGTTGTTCTCGGTGGCCTACCTGGCGGGGCTTCTCTACATCACCGTCATCTGGCATCTGGCGAGCGTCGTGTCTGTGCTGGAACAGAGTTACGGGTTCGGGGCGATGAGGAAGACCCGGGGTCTGATCAGGGGCAAGATGGGGATTTCGGCTGCGGTGTTCTTGGTCTTGGCTCTGCTCTTCCTGGGAGTTGAGCATATGTTTAAGATATTGGTGGTTTTCGGGGAGGGGAAGGGGTTGGGGGAGAGGATCGGGTACGGGATACTTTGTGTGCTTCTGCTGTCTATTACCATGCTCTTCGGCCTCGTCGCGCAGACCATCGTCTACTTTGTGTGCAAGTCGTATCACCACGAGAATATCGATAAGTCGTCCTTGGCGGATCATCTTGGTGCCTACCTTGGAGAGTATGTGCCGCTCAAGTCTAAGGATCTGCAGTTACAACAGTTTGAGGTTTAATTAATTCAGTAGCTCTTCTTCTTCTTCTTCTTCTTCTTCTTCTTCTTCTTCTTCTTCTTCTTCTTCTTCTTCTTCTTCTTCTTCTTCTTCTTCTTCTTCTTACATATAAAACAATATGAAACAAAGAGACAATATTGTGGGATATGTTGGGATGTTAT